AGCAGGAAATAAACGGGAAGTTGGTAGGAATTAGATATGAAATTGCCCTGGGTGCTCGGGGAAGCTGCACTTAAGTAGGGAGATAGAATCTAAACATAATGATATCAATCTCTGCTGCTGGCATCATCTTCAGATATTCTTTTACATTACAAAGAAAGCACTAAGATTTGTGGCCAAAAAAAAGAGAAGAAAGGGTTTGATGTATCCAGCTCCGCTGGTTGGACAGTTTCCTGCTGAGTCCAGGATATTCTGAAATCTCTTGCTGCCCCCTCAAAGGGTTTTTCTCGTGGGATCACCACGTCTGTATTTCAGGATCCTTTCGTAGCGTTTCATCTCGACAAGGCCCTGGTCAGCAAGTACATGAGCCCGCTCTTGATCGGGGAGCTGGCGCCAGATGAACCCAGCTTTGAGCCCAGCAAGAATGTAAGTGCCATTAAGAACTTGGGGTTTCGGTTGAAATTGAGCTGCTTGCTTCTCTTTGTGGCAGCCAGAATTTCCTCTAAGTAAAATGAAGGATATCGTGGAATCACCTTGTCAGTCTGAAGCTTTTCCTTGACTTCACATTGTTACTAGTTTGGGTTTTTAGGGCTTCTCGGTCGCTTTTGGTTTTGCAGCTTTCCCCATTTAGTGTGGGACTAGGGCATCACAGATAGGCAAGGGTAAATAAAACTGGCCAAAATTTTTCTTTCCAGAAGCAACATCTACCACCTGTGGGTGGGAGTCGGGAGGGAAAATGCAACCAACTAAAGAAAATCTTTGGTGTCACAAGGTTATTTGCCTACTCGGGGACCATAATATTGCAGATTTGCCTCTAAATGACCCTCAGCTTTTCCCTCTTGCCACAGAAACCCCTTTAGAGGGGAAACTGAGCTTCTCGTGGAGTTCTTGGGACATTTTCAGATGAGCAAATACACAACTTTGTGTCTCCTCACAGAAAAGGCTGGTCGAAGACTTCCGGGAGCTCCGCGCGGCGGTGGAGAAGATGGGGCTGCTCAACCCCAACCAGATGTTTTTCATGCTGTATCTCTGTCACATCCTGCTGCTGGATGTTGCAGCCTGGCTCAACATCTGGTATTTTGGATCATCCACAGTGCCTTTCCTCTTCTCTGCGATGCTTCTAGGCATCGTCCAGGTGAGCAGCTGGACAGCAAAAGCAGTAAAAAGAAGCCCCAGAAATGCCCAAAATTGGTTCTCTGAGATTTTGGTTATTCCTACCATAAATATGGAGGAAGTGCTGATCCTTCTGGGGCTCCCCACAATTCTGCTCCTCCTTGGGTTCCACTGGAGAGGCAAAATTACAGTACCAGAATGTGCTTTTTAGCAGAGCTATCTCAAAACCGGTTGCTGCTTCCAATCATCTCAGCCTTCTTCACATGCTGGAAACCTTGCGGTGCTTCCCATGCTTCCAAGGCACTGTGTTCCCATGGGAACATACGGTGGCTTAGCAGACCCAGGAGCTCTGAAAGCCCCAGCTTTTTCCCCTGTGATCCCCTTGGAATTACAAGTACTCTGAGGAGGCAAGCTGCTCCTTAAAGGACACTCTGTTGCAGATTTTTGGCTCACTTTGTAGGAGAATAAATGCTCTGTTTCTTAGCACTGTGACCTTTTTTTGTGATTTTTTTTTTCCCTCCATGGAGACAACTATCATGGACTAGAGATCATTAGACTGAGTCTGGGCATTTGTATGACATGGGTATGTTTTTTTGGAGTGACTGCTAGTAGTGGAAACAATTCTCTGCAACAGCAGAAGGTGCTCTTGCTCGCTGGGGGTGAGCATAGAGAGGGACAGCTCTTCAGGTGCAAAGACTCCTGACTCTTCTTTCTCTTGCCAGCAGCAATCTTTTTCTTAATTTTATTTTATTTTTCCCTTGCAGGCCCAGGCTGGCTGGCTTCAGCATGATTTTGGACACCTTTCGGTCTTCAGCAGCTCCAGATGGAACCACTGGGTTCACAAGTTTGTGATTGGCCACCTGAAGGTGAGTGTGGCTGCCAGAGGCCAACGAGGGAGACTTTGCAGCCCAAAATCATCTCATCGGGAGAAGGAAGGGAAAGCAGTGGAGCTGCTAGTGAGGGAAGACTAAGGGCATGAGACCCCACTTCTTTTGGTCACTCTGTTCTCATCCGTTTTTGCAGGGAGCACCAGCCAGCTGGTGGAATCACCTCCACTTCCAACACCACGCGAAGCCCAACTGCTTCCGAAAGGACCCCGATGTTAACATGCACCCCTTGTTTTTTGCCTTGGGAAAAACACTTGCTGTGGAGGTGAGTCCTAGCGGAGTCCGGAGAGGTTACGGGTGGAGGATTGAAATTCAGAGAATTGGAAGACTAATGACCAGGTGGTTTGGTTAGCGAGTTGCCTCAATATTTCAGTAGATTTTTTTCCAGAAAGTGCTGCTTGGCTTTAGTGCCCATTGGAGAGAAAAAAAAAAAAAAAACCCAAAACCCCCCCAAAAAACCAAGATCCTGATGCATCACCAACTTCCCTATGCTTAATGTTGTGATAGGTTTTTTTTATGTTTTCTTGCCCTCATAAGATCTTGCCATGGATTGAAATTTTCTGAATTTATTCTGAAGATTTAAAAAAAACCCTAAAACAAAACAAATTTCTTTTTATAAAGCTAGAATTAGATCTAGGGAATGTCCTCTGTATTATAATAAACACTGCTTAAGTTGACCTGCTGTTTTATAGAATGCTATTTTGCTTTTCACTAGCCCCTAATATTCCTTAGCAATACTTCTGAGGTTTTTATGTTCTTAAATTTTTCATCAAACATTTTTGCTATAAAAATGAAAAATTTATCACAGTTACATATTCATACAGCTCTGATAAGAGGCTTGCAATTGGATGAGGATATGACTGCAAGTTGTTCTCTTTAGCTCTGAGATCAGCTTGACTAATTGCAGTGTTTGGAGAAGCGAATTGGGTGGTAACAGCAAGAGCTATATGGAAATCCTACATTTACTGATCAAAACAAGCTATTTCAGTGGTAGCAGTCTCTTGAGTGGGTGTCAGACCGGGTCCCATCTGGCATCCCACTCTATTTTTGGTGTAGCTCCTCTGAAATCAGTGGAATGGCTTTAGCACACGCTGGTTCTTTCGCCCAGAACAGTTGTATGAGTGCATATTGCCACCTGGCTTAAATGCTGTGATCTGCATCGAAATTAAGGGCCTGAAAGCACCTTTTGTGCAGCACCTTTTGGCTTTGCATTATGAATACCCGAGGCGTATAATCACTAAGAGCAGTACCAAGGAAAGGACAGAATCATGTGGTTTACGGTAGCAACTCCATTAAGGTAACAAACATTAGGGAGAACTGTTAGGAATTGGCTCAGGCAGGTCCAGGGACGTGATTGAGATCCTCAGGGAAGGCAGTGACGTAGTCTCTTAAGCTTATGCAGTGGGCACTGAGAAAGCAGCAGTTTCCTCTGAGAAAGGATAATCTGTTCACCCCTGTTCCTGTGGATAGAGTTGAATGTCTAAATGTTCATCTCTGCTTTGGGGACTAATTGTGAGTAGGTGGAAGGCTGAGACGTTGTCATCTTTATTAATAGGGTTTTTCTTTTCTGTGGCTTTACGCAGCGCGCTGTTCCCAACACGTGCTTGATTATTGTTATTGCTATTTGCAAAACCAGGTCAAAAATCGGTCATTTTGGAGGGATATTTCTAGGTTTTGAAATCAGCTGTTGGTGTTGGCTTGAAATTCTTCCTTCCTGGAAGTTTTCAGTTTTGAACTCCCTCTGGGTAGCCCGGTTAGTTTTACTGCACATACAGAGAGTATCTCTGAGAATGGACACGGCTTTGTGCGAAGCGCATCCAAGACACCTCCCGTCCTGCCCTCCCCTCCTCAGACTTAGTTCAGAGCTACTCTGCTGACTAGTCATGGCAACAAAATTAAGATAAAGTTTCACCTTCCTACTTCTGTCTGCATTAAAGATAGGAATCATTTTGTTAGAAGAAAAAAGAACTTCAGCTTCCACTGCCATGCAGGTCCGGATAGAAAGGGCTTGCTGGATTAGAGTGACCTATGGGTAAAATAGTTTGCTAAGATTCGTATTAATTTTGCGGTCTAAATATTTCAATACAAAAAGATGACTAAAAATGAAAACCCTAAGCTCAGAGTGACAATTTCTGACAGATGGCATGGAAGGAATAAGTAAATGTATTGGCATTGGCATAGTCTTAAGAAATGGTAGGGCTTTGGCAAGGAGGCTTTTGTGGTTTCCGCAGGAGAAAAGCTTCTATTGCACTTTTCTATTGCTACCCGTTGTATTGTGCATCCTGGGCAGAGTAAGGAGTCTTCCCTTAGGAAAATTTTCTTAGAAGACGTTGAGTGAAGCTCCAGGGGATGATGAAGCCAATGGTGTGATGGATGCTGGCATGAAGAGATGCCTTTCAAAGGGTAGGAAGTGTCCAAATATTCATTTCTTTGTCAGAGTAGGTAGGAGTGTAGGAGTGGGTCGTCTTATCTCTCTTTGTGACCTAAGTAGCTTTCTTATTTTTCCAGCTTGGTGTGAAGAAGAAGAAATTCATGCCTTACAACCACCAGCACAAGTACTTCTTCATCAGTAAGTACCCCTACCCTTGTGCAGTCCCATGAACAGCTTCTGCTCAGCTCTCTCCTCCTCCATTTCATCTCACTTCAGTAATTGATGTCTCCACTGTCCCTTTTTTTCCCCTCTAGTTGGTCCCCCAGCTCTGCTGCCTCTTTACTTCCAGTGGTACATTTTCTACTTTGTGGTACAACGGAAACAGTGGGCGGTAAGCGAGCTCCCTTTTGCCAGTGGGGTCTTCTTACAGATCTATGGATATGTGTCCGTGCAGGAAATGGAGCAGCATTGGGAGAAACTCGGAGATTCGTAGCTGGTCGCTGCTTCTCTTTCTGCTAGGGAGGATGGGAATGTAACCTGGGAATGTAATCTGGGAAATCCTGTTTGCTGGGGGAGATTAGACACCCTCCACTCAGCATCCCTCTGAAAATTGGAATTCACATTGGTAACAAAAGGGGTTCTCTGACGTTCTGCCCGAGGTCAGGGTGGTAAGTGTGTGTGAGTGTCTGGAAGTTTGCCTTCTTTTGCAGAGTTGATGCAAAATTGGTGCTTCATGCAACACCAGAGTCTAGTTTAAGGTAGAAGGGATGCCCTGGCCACTCTGTTTTCTGCAACCATTAAGAGAAAAAACTATGGCCATGGGAAAATGGGGAAGATAAAAATCGGGGGTATTTGGAGCAGGATTCAATGGCAGGATTATAAAGTCCCATTTTTCATAGTCCTCCCCTCCAGTGTTAGGTAGTACCACCTGCAGATTCTTATGATCCAATTCCTTGCATGAATCTTCTCTTCCCCATAGCAAAGGTCTTGCCCCATCTGCCTGCCAGGAGAGAGCTCTCCCATTGCCTCTTTATGCTCTTGGGCCTCTTGGTAGCTGAAAACCAACCTCTGCAGCAGCTCAGTGGAGCAAGGGGAGACGTAGTGACTTTCAGAGTTGTGAGGAAGAGAGTTTGCTTGGGGAAAATACAGAATCATGACCATGGGGAAAATAAGAGACCACAAGAAGCATGAGGAGGAGCAAAGAGGGTGAGAGGGAGATAGATAAATTAGAGCACTTTATCCTGTTCAATAGCTAGGTTTCTGCTCTCTGCACTACTTTCCTTCTCTTTAGAATCAGACAAAATGTGGTGCTTCAGAGATGTCCTCTCTGGTGTTTGGCCTAAGTTGGGCTCTTACGACACAGGATACCTCAAGTGCACAGGGATGGATGGAGATTGCATGTGATGGAGCAGGGGAGGAAAATTACCAAACAGCAATACTATGGGAGGTTTTAAAGAGAATCCACATAGAGAGGCTAGTAACTTTGGGAGCCACTAATTCATCTTTTTGATTGAGTCTCATCTGTTCCCTATATTATAGGACCTGGCCTGGATGCTGACCTTCTACATCCGATTCTTTCTCACCTACTCACCCTTACTGGGGGTGAAAGGTATCCTGGGCCTTTTTCTGTTAGTCAGGTATCATTCAAATTATAATTCCTCTACCTATTTCTCTTCAATCCTTCATGCCAACTCTTCTGCAGCATCTTGGTTATCCTTCCCATCTGTTCCCTATTCTTCTGTACCATTATGCCTTATGGCAAAACGGAGTTTGTTCTGTCAGGCTTATGGCTTTAGAAATTAAGTGTCCGCGTGCCATGTAGAAGGTCTGTGTAAGCCTGATGTGCTGGTCAAGTGTTTGGGACTCCTGGTGTTCGTTCTATCAAGTGACAACTAACTTGAGTATTTTGTACTGACTTGTTATGGCATAGGTGCAAGGTCACTGATGGTTTTGTGTGTGTTTTTCTGCACAGGTTCATTGAGAGTAACTGGTTTGTCTGGGTTACACAAATGAACCATATCCCGATGAACATCGATTATGATAAGAATGTGGACTGGTTCTCTACCCAGGTAAGGCCCTCCTCTTTCAAAAAAGCTGTGACTCTGTGTGGGACAAGTTGTAGATCAACTTGTATCTACAACTTGTATGTGTGGGACATAATGCCCAAGCCAGCTGATCACAGAAATGATGGGAAGTGAGAGAGAAAAATATAAGCAGCCTGCCTCTGTGAAATGACTGAGTGCAAAGAGAACAGGAGTGAGATGGAAGCTTCAAATGCTGAACAAGAGCGCCCCAATGAAAAGAATCGGAGATGCTGCAATGCTCTTCACAGAATCACAGAATGGTTGAGGTTGGAAGGGACCTCTAGAGATCATCTAGTCCAAGACAGAGCTCTTCCCATTCCTGAGGGATGCATTTCTCCTGTGCTGTCTTTCCTGCTTTCTCTCATTTGGCTTCTAAAGCCAGTGCTCAGAAGCAAAGCGATAGGTGTGAGGGGATCTGTACAGAGGGAAGACCATCATGGTTGTTATGACACATTTCACTTGGGGAAGTCAGATTTGTTCTCCTAAACTGTTGCTCTACTGGTCATTTGTTGCAGCGTGGCCTTCTTGAATTGACTGCATCCTGTAACTCTTGGAGTTGCTGTACTCAGTCAGAAGGCAGGTGATAATAAGGAACTGGTACTTGTTTGCCATCATCTCCAACACATGCAAAGGAAGGTGTGTTCCTAGGACAACACTCACGTGTTACCTTTTTCTTTTCTTTTTCTTTTTTTTTTTTCTTTTTCCTCAGCTCCAGGCAACCTGTAATGTTCATCACTCCTTATTCAATGATTGGTTTAGTGGACACCTGAACTTCCAGATTGAACACCAGTGAGTTGAAGGAGTGGGAGCTCTGAGTGAGGGAGCAGAAACTTTCTGGAATAGTGCTGAGCAGCAACACCACTTCAGATGTGAGTGGCGTGGCATGGGACTGAGGGAGTTACACAGCCTCCTGGTTGTGCTCGGGTTGAGGTGTTGAGGCCGGGATATGGAAGGGACGGCCCTGATGGCCGTAGTCACCAGGGGGGGTTGGGACACTTCCAGATTTTGGGCAAAGAAGATGGGCAGGTAATATGTGGGGCAATAAGTGATGCCACCTCGTTCTTTTTCCACAGCCTGTTCCCCACGATGCCTCGACACAACTTCTGGAAGGTGGCGCCCCTGGTGAAGTCCCTGTGTGCCAAACATGGCATTGAGTACCAGTGCAAGCCCTTGCTCACCGCCTTTGCAGACATTGTGCAGTGAGTATCAATGCAGAGCATTCCCTGGATGCAGGGCTCTCCGGTGCTACAGAGCAAACAAGCAGGGGACACTGGGAGGGGAGAGGCAGCCCGTTTGATTCACAGATCTGTGAGTGGCTCGAGATGGCATAGATGACTATGGAAATGGGTTGGGAAACTGTTCAGCTGTAGTACTGGTTTCAGTAACAGCAGGCAGAAGGCATCAGAAAGTGGTGGGGGCCTCCTCCTCATCAGCTCTGTCCATTAGGTTGTGTGTCTTTCTGAGTAAGTTCCAAGGACAGAGGTGTTATAATGGAGAAAAGCTTCAACTTCCAGTTCCTTTCTTTTTCCTTCCTTCTCTCCCCTTCCACAGACATTTCTTATTCTCTTGACAAGTCCTGTGGTCCTGCTCGAGTTGTTTGCTTTAGCCTTCCAGTCTTTGTACAGGCCCAGGGATTTGTTCCTCCTTCCTTTCCAAGGAGCTGTAGTCTAAATCACCTGGTGAGTGAGGTCCTTAGCTCAGTCCAAAGATGGCAATTCTCTGGGGCTGCAATCCCTAGAATCAAATTTCCTTCTCAGCCCAAATATCTCATTTTCTTGTTTCTAAGGAAATATGCTTCTCTCTTTGTCCTCGCAGCTCTCTGAAAGATTCGGGGGAGCTCTGGCTTGATGCTTATCTCCATAAATAAAAAGCAGTGGATCCTAGCAGAGGAATTCCCCACCCTTGTTGCCTCCTGTGGTCGTCATCCCGAAGATACCTCGCAGAGGAGAGAGCCAGCTAAGCTGGAGGTGGGGAGATGCCCCATCTTAATTCCAGTGATGAATGTAATTAATTAGACTCTTTTTTTATTTTATTTTTTAAGATGTGCTCTTCATTCTTCTCATACTTCTTTCATTCCTCTTCTCTGCTGCTGAGTTACATGGAAAAGTAGAATTGGAGGAGACTTCACCAAGCTGAAAGCAGCTTTGGGACAGGGAACAGATACCTTTCTGTCTGCTGATATTTCCTTTACCGAGCTTATAGGAGGAACATTTCCTACCTAACATAGGTTTTTGTGAGATGGCTGCTGTTATGAATCAACTAAGAGAGCCGAGAGAGCGTGAGATCAGAGAACAAAGGAGTTTTTGAGATGGGGAAACAATAAGAAAAAATTGTGTAGATGCCACGTTTCCAAATATTTGTGTGCAATTAAATTGTGATAGAAATGCCCAAAGCGAGAAGCTGGGGGGAACCTGAGAGCCCAAATGTATGCAGGTGGGTGTGGGGGAAAAGATGTGGGCAATAGTTCTGTAGAATTAAGTGTGAGAAGAAGAGACCGAACTGGAGGAGATCCTAGCTGAGATAGAGAAACAGGAAAATGCAGGTTTCTGCCCTCGGCAGGTAAGTGGATGTGACACCTTGGCATGCCGTGCTCTGTGGGAATGCCTGTGCCCTGCTCATCTCTTTTATGGGGAAGGCCTCTGGGCTCCTTGCAGGTTTATAATTTCTCTTGGAGCTTCTGCACCAGTTTCCACAGCTTCGGGCTTCTGGGAGCTGTTGAACCTATAGTCAGAAGAGACAGAAACATGGGAAGTTCTTAGCTCTGGATCCCGGCATGGGCTACTGAGGAAGCAAAAGGGTAATCAATCTGTGGCTACCTGAAGCTTGATTCTTTTTGAATCTCTATATTAATGAATGGTTTGTTAAGTGGAGAGGACTGGGGGCTTCTGGGCCATGGAGATGTTCCTATCTGAGCTGAGGACAAATTTAGTTCAGTTGTTGCTGTTAGGCTTTAGGGTACCGTTTAAATTAATATAATCTTTCAACCAGAGGTCAGTGGGCTGCATTCCCATAAGCACACGTCTGCCTGTCCGTTGCTGGTCATTCTCTGCAGGATGATGTGCCTTCAAAACACACCCCAAGAGAGCATACGCCGTGTCAGCTCTTAGAGCATTACCTTGATGGATTTCTTTGTGGCTTATCATTTGCTACACCGATGTTACAGATGCCAAACAGGACATAGCACTTGGTATAACACTGATGAAGACGGCTCCATCAGCTGTTTGTCTTTAAGCCTTTAGCTTTTTGAACTGCTTTCTGGGACCAGTTCCATTTTCTACTGTCTCATGTAGATAAACTGGATGTTGTTCCATCTGTGCTCTTTTCTTTACCCTTGTCACTAATGGTGTTCAGTTGATTTGCATGACACAGTGTGCATGATTCCAAGACTGAAGTAATGGGATAGGTTGATTTTTTTTTCAGTGTCCACAAGGAGATTGGCTTAGGAGGGAATGGAAGACTTCCCAGGCCAAGACTGTTGTTAAGTGTGGAATGAAATTTTAATGGAAATAATAAAATTACCATTAAATCATGGGTACCTGTTCATAAAGGAAATCAGTCCTAGTTACTTTTTTTTGTCCCCTTTTTCTTGCTCTGTTTCTTTCCCCTCTCATTAGAACTACTTATGGAGGACAGTCTAATAATAAATTTTCTTACTTTACCCATTATTGCTGTCATCAGAGTGAAATATGTCTCTGCAAGAGTTGGCGCTCTAAAAGCCTTTTTCTGATCATGGAGTTTTGACCCTAAGCCACAAAGCGCCAAAAGTCTTGCCGTGCTAGTCAGGACATCTCAACTCCATGCCTGTGGCAAAAGAACTGGACAAGCTGCCAAGAGAAAACACTGAAGACAAGGAAGACTGAAAATCCTCCAGAGGGATTAAGGTATTAAGTGTTTTGCTATTGATAACCATCGCCCTAACTCAAGATTTACAAGTCTGAATTTTGTTTGTTGGCACATAGTGTGTCCTTTATAGCAAGTGGAGCTGGAACGTGTCCACGTCGTGCTTGTGCTGTAGTTGCTAGGTTTGTGAGTGAAGTTGACTTCTGCTCTTCTTCCCTGGCTGAAATTCTGACATGCAAGAAGAACTGCTTCAACAGACAAGAAAGGCATGTCCTTGGGAGCTCAACACAAGTTAGCGGTCATCTCTGATGAAAGGGGCAACTGAACTTGGGTTTCTTGGAGCTCTGGATACTGAGTGCTCTAGTCCCAGAGATATTTAAAAAAAAAATGAAGGAACTTCCAATATCTTTCAAAGAAGGCAGGTAGACTTTGGTCCCTTCAAAGCTTACTTTGAAGAGCTTTCCAGGTGTGCTTGCACAAATGAGGTGAGTTCAAAAAAAAAACCTACTTGTAGGTCAAGTTGGCTGCAGGTATTCAATGATGTTGAAGTGGTTGCTGTTGCCCAGTGAGAGGCTTTGAATGTGCAGAAGCAGAACAGGAATCGTGTAGATGTTTAAGTTTGAAAATCTAAATGCCTTAGGGTTTAAGCTAGCTCCAGGACTAGGATCATCCAGGAATGTGTCCAAGGTCTGTTTTGGTGCCTGAGACTTTGGAGGCTCTTGTTGTGTCTTCTCTACCATGTTTTTTTAAAAAAAACACCCACGAAGCAGTAGGCCAGATGCTTGGAAAAACAGGACAAACTCATTCATAATCCTAAAGGCTGAGACTGAAAGGGGACCCAAATCCAGGAAGGCAGTTCTGTATACGTTGGGTTTGCTAGAAGCTCTGCAGTGGTGGCACAGCTGAACACATCATTCGGGCTGTTAGATCCCACAGAGGCAGGTTCCTCTGAGACTTTTTGTATTGAAATGAAATTTCACAACGGGCTTCAAATGCAAGTCCACGAGCCCCTTCAGGCTTTCTGCACTGAATGCACCTTTCTGCAACAACACAACCTCCTGAATTTACTCATTTCATGGCACATTCCATGAAGTAGCCACAGGATGGCAGCAAGGTGTCGAAGGGGAGCAGGACAGCATAGCTTTACGGAGAACTGTGAGGCAGGAGTGTTGAGAGCCTCCAATCTTACTATTTTTACCCTCCTGCTCACTTAAAGGAGGCAAATAACAAAATTAATGCATAACTGAAGGCAATTTTCAGCTCATGCGAGAGCCATTTCCTCATCTTGCCCCAGTAATGACCGTGTTAAAATATCCTTTCCCATTAGGGCTTTTCCTTGTTTAGTGCAAACCTGTACTAGGAAAGCGAAATTACTGCAAGTTCTGTCCTGTTGTGAGGAGGGCAACTGTCCTCCATCCCTGGAAGAAGAAAGGAGAAATGAAGGTCGTGATAGGTCTGTGCGTTGCAAATGGATGCAGCTGAGCCTCTTGGAGATGGGATGATTTCTTGCTTCCCAAGGTAAGTTGCCTTATAAGGAATCTAAAGAGATTTCTTAGCATTAACTTAAAGTGTTCTCTCTCCCTGCAACCAGGAAGTCTGACTTATCCATAGCAGGACTGCATAGACACCCTATCTTTGGTCACAAGTTCTATAGCTTGACTTTGATTTTTTTTTTCCAGCTAATTATTATTTGGGCTCTTGCAAGGTTAGTGTTTTCATATGTGTATCTAT